GGAATTTACAGTACAAAAGCACATGTCCAATAGATTCAATTTCCCCCATCCCACATGGGCACAATCTATCTTTATAGGGAATTTTCTTCAACCTTCCCGATAAACCAGCTGAGGGAAGGACGTCGAACTGAGCTAGCATGAAAGCCCTACGGAGATGGGGCTGAATCAGTCTTGCCAGATATCCTGAGAGGTTTATCAGTAGTACATCCAATGCCTTCTACAGCAGGTAATAGGGGTGTGCAATTTTTTTTCTTGGTATTTTTTGGTTCAGGTCTATTGGACCTGAAAAAAAACTTGGGATTCGCCAAGAAACCTGGATCCCAATACCAGTAAAGTATTTAGATCTGGGATTTTTCAGAAATGCCTGAATTTTTTCGGGTCCAATAGATTTGAATAAAAAAAAATACAGGGGGGAAAACTGCGGCAAAGCCACACACACACACAAACACCCCCCCCAGCTGATATACCTGGGATTTTTCAGGGATTTTTTCTGGTTCTCCCGAAAAATCCTTGATATATTTGGGATGCCAATATATGCCCAAAAAACACTGATAAGTTGTTTTTTGGGAATATTTTTGATTTGGGTAGACCCACATGCAAACCTCTGGTAGGTAACACAAAAAGACAACTCCAGCTGCTTCATCTAGTCCAACATCCTGCTCAATCAGTGGATAACCAGATGTCCTTGGAAGGCTTCTAAGAAGAGCATGGACACCAAGGCCTTTCCCTGTTGCTGCCCCCTGCACTTGTATTTAGAGGTCTGGCCCCTGAATATGAAAGTTTCATTTGATCATAGCTCCATGGATTTGTCTAATCCTTTTTCAGAGCCATGTATGTTAGTGGCTATGACAAAAGTTCTGTGAAAATGAACTGACACCACTTGAGATTTTTATTTCCTGCTCCCCAAAGTGCCGTCAAGATCCTTTTCTATAAGCTCCCTTCCTCATAAGAACCTAAGAAGAGCCTTGCTGGATCAGACCAATAGTCCATCCTTTGGACACCTAATAACAGGGCATAGAGGCTTTCTCCTGATGTTGCTTCCTGGCTCTGGAATTCAGAGGCTTAAAGCCTCTGAATGTGGAGATTCCCCTCAGTCACTATAGCTAGTAGCCATTGATAGACTTATCCTCCATGAATCTAATTCCCTTTTAAAGCTATTTATTCCTGTGGCCATCACTATATTCTCTGTGTGTAAAGTAATATTTCCTTTTGTCTGTCCTGAACCTACTGCCCATCAGCTTCATGGGATGCCCTCGAGTTCTAGTATTTTGGGAGAGGGAGAAAAAGTTTCTCAGTTGTGTTTTTCTCCCCCCATCTTTAAAGTGTGGCATCCAAACAAACAAATAAAAATCCAATTTTCATCATCACAATGAATATCACTCCATTCTGTTCAAATGAATCCCAGAAGTTAATTACTTGTTGAATCAAAAAATATTTCTTACGTCTATACTGTCTACATCCCATCAATGTCACTGAGTGTACTGAAGTTCTATTATGATGGGAGACAGTAAGAAATTTCCTTCTATTTGATTTGACAGATGCATAATTTTATAAACCTCTGTTTTGTGCCCCTTACATTATATTTTCTATAAACTGAAAAGGCACCAATCTCCTTAGCCTTTCTCTATACAGAATATACTCCAATATCCTAATAGTTTTGATTGCCAAGTTCTATACATTTTTAGCTCTACAGTATAGTTTTTGAGATATGGTAAGTAGAAATGTATACAGTATTCCAGGTGTTTCATGTATCTATACAGGCCATTTTGTTTTCACTCCTTTTCCTAATAATCCTTTGTAATTAATTCATTTTCTTTGTTGCTGCCATACACTTAGTCAACATTTTCATTGGGCTATCTAACATATGCCCTGATTTGGATAGCCCAGGCTAGCCTGATCTTGTCAGATCTCAGAAGCTAAGCAAGGTCAGCCCTGCCTAGTATTTGGATGGGAGACCACCAAGGAATACCAGGGTCGTGACATGGTGGCAGACAATGGAACAACACTTCTGAATGTGTCTTGCCTTCCAAACCCTATGGGGTCACCATAAATCTGCTGTGACTTGACTCTCCATCACCATCTACCATACGGATAGCTCAATAAACCTAGCATAGCCTTCTAGAATGTGTAACTTCTTTAAAAAACTGTGCGACTATTCATGCTAGTGAGCAGGAGAACATCTTGCAAGTGCTTACTAAGCAAAAGACGTTAAATTGGAAGGGAGGATGGAAACCAACCCTAGAGAAATATACTTGAAAAATGTGACAAATATCATTTGTTTTGATCAACACACAACAGTATAAAGAACAAGCAGCTTGAACAACATATTAAGAGAATAATAAGGTAACCTCTCTTGGAAGAAACAATATATCACAAATAAAACTAATGCCATGATATAGCCAATGTTAAAAACTTTCACGTTCCATTGATTTGAGTGATAAATATTTAATTGTGTCTTAACTTTCGTACTAAAAACAATGAACCTTAGAAAGGCTTAATTTTTCCTAGATTGTGCCCTATTTCAATGGCAGAGGGATTTGCAGTTATAGGACATTTCAACTACCAGCTTGCTTGTAATGAAATTTGCTTTCAGTTACCTGAATCCTCCTTGATTTGTGTCTGTGAGATGGCATGTCCCTCCATTCTGGCAAGGATTCTGAATGCAGGCATTAATGGGTATGCTACAGTCTCGATCCTGTCAAGAAAAGTTAATGAATACTGGTTAGTCTTTTGTAGGGAGAAATCCTAAGCAGGTCTAATCAGAAGCAAGCCCGATTTTATTTAATAGGCTTACTCCCGGAAAAGCATTCTTAGGACCACAGCCCTAGTTTAGCCTGTGTACATGATCACACTGGCATGCCCAAAGACCTTCAGAAGTAATCTAGTAAATTGCTTTTGCCAATTAATGCTCACACCAAAAAATCAAAAAGGTATCAACATCGATGGATATGAAATGAATAAATATAAAATAAATAAAAATAGTACATCGTATTATAATGTTGACCATTACAGAACCATTTAAAGAGAAGGGACACAGTTGTGATCACAATGCATATTTGTTGTTCCACATCAGCACTGGCTAAAGCTTCTGTTGTCCGGCTCTTTAGATACTTCCTATTTTTTTTACTGCTTATCCTTGAAGAAAGATAAAAATATGAGTCCAATATAGTTTTAAATAATGCACTTCAGAGTATAAACAAATTAAAGGCAGATGTTGTTCTGTTGTAAATGTCTTATTGAATCTTTACACGCTCCCAATGTCACATAAAGCTAATGGGACCTGTTCTGCAGTAATTAACCAAGAAAAAGACCTTAGGATCACAGTGGAACCTACACTGAAAATGTCAGTTCAATGTGCTGTAACGTTTTTTTTTTTTTAGTTATGAATGACTGGGCAAATTGAAAATAATAAGTATTATAATGTTTTTAAATGTCACTATGATTATCAGTAGCCAAATCTGGAATACACTAGTCACCTCATTTTGAAGGGCAACATAAATGATCAGGGAGTATATATGTTTCTTTATATTGGGCTTTTTAATTTAATAGGTGAAATGATAGACATTTATAAATTTGCTGGTGTTCAGGAATTGCTGAATAAAAGGACTTGCTTCTTAAATGGCAAGTGATTACGTTATGGCAGTGCTTTGCAGAGTTTTTAAAGTGGGACTCAGGCTCACTATAACATTTTCTACCTATATGTAATATTTGAGGAAATACGTTTCAGTGAATCTGAAAGAGTGTACATACTAAGTTTCTCAGTTCTCACTTGTACCCAGAATTGAACCTTATTTGTCTTATAGGTGCCACTGGACTCATACCTCATTCCCACATCTGTTTGTTAACTCTTGTATTTGTATGCTAATTTACTGCCATTCACAGATCTTTCTTGCATCCAATCTCAGCTATAATCACCCAGTACTTATGCATCTTGACTCTAAATGGCCCTTCCTGACAACAGTATATAAGTAATGATTGAAGAGGTTCTGTTCAGCTGTATTTGAGGAAGTGTGCTTGCACACAAAAGCTGTGAATAAAACTTTGATGGTCTTAAAGGTGCCACTGGACTCAAATTTTGTTCTATAACATTTTCTGTGCTTATTGGAACCTAATTCTAAATTTAGGAATTTACTTGGAAGGTAATTCCATGGTACTCTTTCTCTCTCCCAGTATAAAATGTAGCAATCTCACATCAGCTAACAATGAACAAATTTAGAATTTATTTTTCAGTGTTAGCATTTATGAACACATTGTATTACATGCAGCATTTCTTGGCTATTTTGTATATTCTGCAGAGGCAAACCCAAATTTGCTACTGAGCATCCCATAGCCTCATCTTCCAGTTCACCCTGTTCCTCTCTCCTCCTTCCTGACCTTGTGATCCACCTGCAAGAGAGTCATAACTCAATTTTGGATCCTGATCCACAGCGTAAAAATCACTGCTGTATACAATTTAGTTCTGTAAGATGTGTTCTTCACAACTAAATTAGATGGCTGCAAAATTTATGGACATTTTCAGGGACTAGCTGAAAATGGAAGCTCCGTGGCGGTATACCTCTGATTTCCAGATGCTGGTGATGGATACTACCATTATCCCCTACTTGTGAGATTCCTAGTGGTATGTGGTCACTGGTAAACATTTGATCTGATAAGTAAATCCTCAAGTTCATGTGCCTATAACAAGCAATTGCCAATTATTTTCTTCAGACATTTAAGTTCATGATCAATGAGAAGGAATTTGAAACAATGGCATTCTAATTATGTGAAAAGTTTTCATGCCTTCTGGGCAGTTTTACTTCCTTATCGTTTGAAGTAATCTGAATCCAAGATAAATGTTGGCCACTGTCATGTAAAAAATACAATGTATCTGCTGTTTAAATTGTGTTGTATATTGTATTTAATTGTACTGTGTTTCGTATTCAACTTACACAGAATGGAAAATTCCTTTCCTTCTCTAGGTAGTATCACATTAATAGTCATGGAGTCATGTTGAGTTTAAGAGCAGCTTAAAGATTACTGAAATGTTAGCCAGCAACAATATTTCTAAGAAACAGAACATATAGAATCATATAATAAGAAAGATATTTCCTACACCTTCTAAAGAAAAAATTTAATTTTAAAAAATCTTATAAAAAGGCTCTGCAAGCCCTTGTTCTTTAGTGGCTATCTATCCTCTTTTTTATAAAGGTCAGTCCTCTAGCTACTATTTCGAAGGTATTCTATTAGGAAGCAGTAAAGGCGCTGAAAGTGATGCCAGTAGTTTGGTTACCATATTTCTTGTATAAGCTACTCCCAGATTCTGAACCTTCAATCTAGAGACTGGGTATTTCCCATTTAATAACAAATACATCCACAGCTGAAAATTAGGTCTCCAGAGGACTGTACTGTACTGTAACATTCCTGTTTACTTTGTATTAATGCTTAACATGGCTGATTGGCTCCGGACTGACTACGCATTTAACCTCAGCATCTTGCAGTAAATAACCTGAACCAGGCATAAATAAGTGTATTACAGAGAACACGTACAAATGTGTATTTTTTCTATTTCTAAATTCTAACCATGTTTTGAGATATTAATGAAAGTTAACGTAATATGCTAAATACAGAGAACTGAGACTGCTATTTTCAGTGTTATGAATACAAATAGCAGTTCTCTTATTCTTTGCTCTTTCTGGGCTGGAACACAAAGAGGATTTCTGTGAATGGAATGGGGGCAGATTCCCTCCTCCCACTGCAGACTTCTAACTTGCTCCTCACACTTTTCTGGGGGGGGGGGAGATTGTCACTCTGAAGCAGCATTGGGTCTTTGGGGACCACCGTAGAAGGGGGAGAATAGGAATGTCTGCTCAGCTAATGGAACTTTTTTTTCCTGTCAGCAGAAACGTTCCATGGAATCCAAACCTTTGAATCTGGATGTACAGAAAGGACCTGTGCATCTACTGAAGGGAAATTTAGGAGCAGGTTAGTAGAAGTTCAAAAAGCAACGAATGATAATTGCATTTAAGCCTAATGTTTTTCTAGGAAACAAGAACCATCTTCCACAAGTGGCCCAATCCATGAAACCTATTCTGCTTAGTTTTATGAAAACTGATTAAAATGAAGTAACAATTTGACCCACAGTACAAAAGCACATGAGCTTTGATTTGGAAGTCTATCTTTTTACCTGTTTGTATTAGTTGGACAATGTGCACTAACAGCAGTGATACAAAATTTACTAATTAGATTTGAATGTAAGATTTATACCAATAATGAATTAATTATTTACTGTCTTAAAGAGAGTTACAATTTTCAGTTTCTCCATGATTAGATTTCCCCTGCTGTGCATAACTTCCCCCCCCCCCCAATATTTTTATTAGAAGATTTTTACAATACAGAATAATAACCGGTTACATAAAGCAAAATTTCAGAAGATGCAAACCGCCTCTACTCAAATCAGGCATATATATCTTACTTTACCTAAACTTTATTAAAGTCCTAACAATTTTTGAACATATCTAGTTGTAGGAAGTCAGATGTATAGAGTGTTCTAATTAAATTGCATTATTTTGTATTTTGCATTAGCAACGTCTATCCAATTAAATTGCGCTAAAGATATTTTTTCTAAGATCGGGCTCCAAATACTCAGAGGGTTATAAAATTCGCACTCATTTTTAATTGTTGAGTCATATATAGAGAGGTTTTCTAGCATAAATATATCCCAAACTTTATTAATCCATTGTGTTAATGTAGGTGGATTTCTGTTTTTCCAATTCTTCGCAATTGTAATCTTAGCTGCTACTATTAACAAATTGACTAATTTTTGCGTTCTTTCAGGGGGATGATTCTGTGGCCAAAGGTGAAGGAGCATAACTACGGCTATGGTGATCCACAGGAACAAGCTTTGAAGTATAGAACTTACTGTATTATTTACTGTGTCTTATTGAAGCGTATACATTTTTTGGTTAAGAGTGAGATGTTTGCATGTTCTCCCTCTCACAACAGGGTAGTTGTTTTCTGTTGGGATTCAGAATGATAAAGCTAGCAGTGTGTTCTGTCCTAGCCCTATTGGAAATTAAAACATACATTTCAGGATCAAATTATTTAAGCAAAGGGTGGAAAAGACTTGACTTCAACAAACTTGGGTGCGAGTCTGTTTAGGATTAATCAATTAAATTTAATACAAGTGAGAACTAAGAAGCTTAGTATTTATACATGCAGTGACCACTCCAAGAATATTATATGCCAAATATTGGAGAAAAAAGAAGTACCTTCAAAAGAAGAAATGATAAATAAAATTCTGGAAACTGCGGAGATGGATAAATTGACTTTAATACTGAGAGGACAAAAAGAAGAAAGATTTCAAAATACATGGTCAAGTTTTTATAAATGTCTTGAGGACTATAATAAATGAACAATATTGACGATTCAACGATTTAGAAGAGAATATAAAATACAAGTGCAATTATAATGCATAATACTTATACAAAAATGTATGGTGATAAACAATAGCTACTATATAAATAGACAATGTAGGAGGTAACAAACTAGGTAAAACAGAGATGTATATGGAATCCCCAATCTATATGAATTTATGTTTGTCTGTCTATTTGTTTGTTTTTCTTCTTGTTTGTTTGATATAAAAATATTTTTTTTTAAAAAAAGTTCAATATTTATATCTTGCCTTTCCTTGTGGCTCAGTTGTACTGCTAGGAGCAT